CACGGATTGAGGAATCGGAGAGCCGAGTTCGAATTCCAGTCGAATATTCTCTTACGTGCTAATATCTTTGGGAAAGGCATGAATCTTCTTCTTCACCCTCCAGCTATGGATAAATAGCAGGACAGACCTGGTTCTATGGCCTTGGACGGCAACTGGTCTACCGCAGAAAGAAATGGCAACCTACTGCGGGAAAAAAAATCTGCCTCGTCAGTCATGTATCGAAAAATACATGATCATCTAAGCGTGTATCCCGCATGGCACATAACTGACCGACTGCTAATATAGTACTGCGTTTAAATTCAGAAAGTCTGGGTACCATAGCGAAGAGCTCATACCATGAAAGTATTTATAGAAAAGTCACAGAGAAACAACTTTCCGACCTTGGGAAAGTCACGTCAGATTAGGACCAATCATTTTGGTGTTTCTTTCTTTTTTTGGATTATATTAAGAATCTCTAAATATATAGCAGGAGAACCGAACTATATGTGGCAGCAATATTCTAAGAATGGTCTTATAGATATATATGCGAAAGATTGTCTAACACCATACAGTGAACCGTTTTTCTTAGCAGCTGACCTAGCAATGGATTCAATATAGAATTTCCACGTCATGTCTGCCGAAAATGTTAGCCCGAGAATGCACAATGTGTCATTCATGTGGAGGTTAGCAATATATATATATATATGTGTGTGTGTGTGTGTGTGAAAAGTGTATATAAATATAAATAGATATATATATGTATAATTATGTGTGTGTGTGTGTGTGTGTGTGTGTGTGTGTGTGTGTGTGTGTGTGTGTGTGTGTGTGTGTGTGTGTGTGTGTGTGCGTGAAAAGTGTATATAAATATAAATAGATATATATATGTATAATTATTTATATATTATATGCGCGGTACTTATTAAAAGCGCTCAATATCAGAGATAGAGCTAACATATTTGGTTGGATAGATGTGAGTTTGTGACCCTGGCTTTCACGCTTTAGCGATCGTCAGACAAATCACTAAAGCGTGAACTCACATCTACCCAACCAGATATATATATATATATATATATATATATATATATATATATATATATAAAGAAATGGACAAAGTCCGACAATTTATTTATTAAAGACATTTTATGTTTAACGTTCTTTTTTATAGATACAAGTATTTAAGTAAATGCTCTGTTTATAATAAACAGTATTAAATAACATTTACCAGGCCTGAATGTCCGAAATTTTTCAAGAACGAATATTTTCTATGAAAATTTCTCTACATTCAAGAACGTTAAACATAAAATATATACATTTATATATATATATATATATATATATATATATATATATGGCTATTGTCGGTTAATACAGCTACTGTTTGTTTTAAAATGTATTTCTGTGTTATTTTAACAGATCACGACAGCCATTATGGAGATGTGATTAAATATACTTTAATGTTTAAGAAAACTTTATTCAGTATTAATATTGTTTAAGTAATAAGCATTATAAAATTGCACAAATAGCTATATTATGGAAAAAGGAATTTTCGACAATATACTCATTTTTTTACGTATGGTTATTTTTTGAAATTTTTATCAAAAACGACATTCTTGCTCATGCAGTTATGGATAATATGCATTAATTACTATTTATTTTTAGTTTGTGCTCAGTTGTTGATATTAATAGCTGTCTGCTGATGCGTTCAAATTTTGGAATAATGCAATAATAAAAATTTAAATTTCATCTCTCTGTAAACTTAAAATATATAATGTTTGTTTCAAATCAGGTTAATTATACTTTGAATCAATTAATATTTCTCAAATAAAGTTCCAGAAAAGTACATTTTATTTTTGGAAGATTTTTTTAATACAGAGAATTATATTGCGACATAAGTCGACTAAAAAAAAATGGCGCTTAGCTATTTCAGGAAAAAAAGAAATTGAAAATCGATTCCAATCACTATAATTTCTGTTTGAAACACACTAGAGTACTTTTCTCATTGGAAATAGTAAATTTAATCCTTTAGCTTTCAATTAAAGCTAAAATGAAAGCTTTAAGAATGCTTAAGATTCGTTTTAAAACCTTAAGTATCGCGAATTACTAGAGGCACCTACTTGAAACTAATCATTTCTTCTTTGTGGTGTAATTCTTATTGTGAAAAGGAGTAGATGTTTCCTATTTTATCTTTATTCATCTGTACCTGTTATTTCTTTTCATAAATCAGTCGCCTTTTACGTAGCCTGGACATTAATGTTTTACAAGACTCGCTACGGACTGGCGGGCGCTTGCCATGTGCGCCAATGATTTCTACGATTCGCAACCCCTGTGCATTATGTTTGCTTTCATCTTTTAGATTTTCATTAGAGCTTTTGACACCCTTGAAAATATCCTGGATGTTCAGCGAGTCTGACAGCTCAAGATGGATTGACAGCCGACAAGAGGAGTTGGAGTTGGGAATTATTAACGTCGGCTTGATTTAGGGCTGAATATTAATCACTCACATCTAAAGGCTGGCATAAAAAAAAGGGGAGGTTACAGAAAGGGTGAGAGATAAGGAAAATGAAGAAAAAAGATGTTGGAAACGGAAAAAAGGTTTGCACGGACAGAATGTGAAAAGAGTGAGTGGTCGATAAAAGGAAAAGAGAACCTATAAAGGAAAATAGAAAATAGAAAAGAAAAAGAAAATAGAAAGGAAAAAAGAAAGGAAAAAAGAAAGTAGAAAGGAGAAAAGAAAATAGAAAGGAAAAAAGAAACGAGAAAAGAAAAAAGGAAATTAGAAAAGAGAAATGAAATTGATATATATATATATATGTGTGTGTGTGTGTGTGTGTGTGTGTGTGTGTGTGTGTGTGTGTGTGTGTGTGTGTGTGTGTGAAAAGTGTATATAAATATAAATAAATATATATATGTGTAATTATTTATATATTATATGCGCGGTACTTATTAGAAAGCGCTCAATATCAGAGATAGAGCTAACATCTATCCAACCAAATATATATACAGTAGCGTCCAAAACTAAGGGAGAAAATTTTAAAACCTAATATTTGTTAGAAATAACAACTGTGAAAAGCTGAAATTTTGACAACTGGTAGTCGTTATCATCCATAATAACATACTAAAATTTGAATCATTTGCAAAGGATAGAAAAAGAATTATAACAATTATTTATTTTCAAATTTGGAAGGTCCAAAAGTAAGGGACAAAATTGAGAAAAACAATGTAAACGGCAAAAAAAATGTAACGGCACACACAAATAGACAAAAAACTAAATACTTCACAAAATGAACGTCGATATATATATATATATATATATATATATATATATATATATATAAAAATATAAAATAATAAATTTGTCGCTTTTTTACTGGGCAGGCTGTCGTTTCGGAATTTTTTTAATTTAGGTCACACCCACGTAACTAATTTAGTCGAGGAGACGCGCCTTACTAAAATATTTTTTCGCTTTGTTATGCATCTTCCCCATATATATATATATATATATATATATATATGTGTGTGTGTGGGTGTGTGTGTGTGTGTGTGTGTGTGTGTGTGTGTGTGTGTGTGTGTGTGTGTGTGTGTGTGTGTGTGTGTTAAGACATTTTATGTTTATACATTCTTTTATAGATACAAATATTTAAGTAAATGATCTGTTTATAATAAACAGTATTAAATAACATTTACCGGCCTGAATGTCCGAGAAATTTTCATATAAAATATTCGTCCTTCGAACCTGTATCCTATATGAAACCGTCATATAGCCTGACGTGCCTTACCTTTATAAGCAGTAAATTCGACCTTCCCAACCGAACGATCCTTTGTGGCCGAGCGGTAAGGCACGTCAGGCTATATGACGGTTCCGTATAGGATACCGGTTCGAATCCTGTCGAAGGACGAATATTTTCTATGAAAATTTCTCGGACATTCAGGCCGGTATATGTTATTTAATACTGTTTATTATATAAAAAAAAACAGAGCATTTACTTAAATACTTGTATCTATAAAAAGAATATTAAACATAAAAATGTTTTTAAATAATTGTCGGACTTTGTGCATTTCATAATGTGAAAAGTAAATATTGTTTTAATATCAGTCCTCCGTACAATAATTGGTCTATATCTGAATTCGCATGCAATTAATTATCAGCCCAAAAAGCTTAAGACGTCGGAAGTGATATTATCGTTGTTGACTTGGCAAAATTTAGTTTGCTGCTTTGGTAAAGTTTGGCACAAGGCTGAAGTCGGAGGCTTTCGTCGGCAGATAATCAAGTGGGTCTCTCTCCTGTCTCTGGTCTCGTCTCCGTCTTTTCTGCCTATCTTCTCTCTTCTACTTAATTCGCTTCGCGCATTCGTATTTATGAACATTCGCCCAAACTGGCCTGGGGGTGTGGGGAGGTAAGTAGCATTTCGGTGAGTCCCCTCCGGCTTACGTCATAACTTTGGGGAAATCCCTCTCCCCATCCTCTCATATTATTACCTCTCACTAAATCTTCTCAGTGAGCCTGGTTTGTTTATCCATCCCATCCTGGCATTTCAACAAGTTTCGACCGGGTGAATCAACTTCAAATTCGTTGTTTATGAAAAATGAAATTTTTACTTTACATCTTTCATTTGCAACTGTGTGTCAATCAAGATTGCCCCCCCCCAAGTCTCAGTCACTTTTCCATTGTTCAAACTGCTTGACATACAATTCAAGTCGTTTATGTGTGAATTAAATCCTCAATTCTTCCAACGGGTTTTCGATATTAACCCTCCTCGTTTCAGTGTCTCTCAGTACATAACACTTTCTTATGTTTTAACAAAACTTTCTTCCGTTTTACCGTGGCAACGGCAAATAGTATCTCACAAGCATACTAGCCTACTTACCAGTGGCGATAACCCACAAGATTTAAGTTTTTTTTATAATTGTTGTATTAGATGATAATATTTATTAAAGGTCGCCTTATGCACGGAAATATACGTATGTTATTTATTCTTTTGTTTATTTTTCTCTTACGCATGGCTTGTTTGCAAATATTAATTATGATTTTTCTTTTTCTTTTTTTAGGTAAGTACGAACATTTTAATCGGATTCTACCCTGACCATGTAAACAAGAACACAGGTAAAAGAAAACCAATGATCTTTCTTCCTCAAATGCTTGTTAATAAGTAAGGTACTGATGTATTGAGGCAACGTTTCAAAGGATCTTCCTTCTTTTAGGATCTCAAATTTTCCTGTATGTTTATAGTTATATCAAAGGGATGGTTTTTTTTCTTTTGACATAACTATAAACACGCAGGAAAGTTTGAGGTTATTTTTTAGTCGAATTCACCTCATGTAAAGGTACTAAAGCCACTAAGACACAAGGGCTTACTGGGTGTGAGAGAATTAGAAAACAAAAACATTATTGAGGATCGAGAACAAGAGAAGAGGAATCAGTAAGACATTACATTGCATTTAAATTTTTGTTCTTAACTGGGGCAAAGAATGGCTTGTTAATTGAGATGAAGATGAGAAAAAGAAGGAAAATTTTATAGAATTTGATCATGAACAAATTAATATTAACGTTTCTTTGGAATAATTCCGGTATATACGGAGGTCCCTAAAGTTTTCCAAGTTTTTATACCTTGCTAGAAGAGAAATCAATATCACATTCGGTTCACACGCTCTACGCAAATTCACCAAATTTTAGGGTCGATCGCTTTACACAAATTCACCAAATTTTAGGATTCACACGCCCTACGCAAATTCACCAAATTTTAGGATTCACACGCCCTACGAAAATTCACCAAATTTTAGGATTCACACGCCCTACGCAAATTCACTAAATTTTAGGATTCACATGCCCTACTCAAATTCACCAAATTTTAGGATTCACATGCCCTACGAAAATTCACCAAATTTTAAGATTTACACGCCCTACGCAAATTCACCAAATTTTAGGATTTACACGCCCTACGCAAATTCACTAAATTTTAGGATTCACACGCCCGACGCAAATTCTCCAAATTTTAGGATTCACACGCCCTACTCAAATTCATCAAATTTTAGGATTTACACGCCCTACGCAAATTCACTAAATTTTAGGATTCACACGCCCTACGCAAATTCACCTCTGTAGCCCCTTGTGTACTAGTGGCACCCTCGCCTTGCTCTGAGTGAAAAAAATACTAAAGGTATTGGGGTCATATGAAGAATGCATTGTTAATTTAAAACTAAAAGAAGGCCAAAAGGGACTATATATATATATATATATATATATATATATATATATTATAAATTTATTTATCTAAAAATATGGTTCTTTTAGGATAAATAAATACCGAAATCAGACGTCCCTACCGAAATATTTCTGGCATTTAAAAGAAACCAATAAAACACCTACTGTGAAATGGAAATTAATAAGAAAAGCTAGAATATGTAGCTCATTAAATGACCCATGCCATTTGTGCATACTTGAGAAACTATATATTACTAGGTTTATAAAAAATAAAAATTTACTTAATCAAAGAAATGAAATAGCTATTCTTTGCCAACATTGATAAAAATTTTCCTTAAATCATGTTTAATTAAAAAACAAAAAAAACTGATCAATTAAATATACATATTTTATGCGTATTTATATTTGTTATTTAAACGATAATATTTAAATAATAATTTTTAAATAATTTAAGTAATTCTATTAGATTTATTTGTTTTAAAAGATGTATAGTCTATTAGTAAATAAAATTAAGAATAATATTTTAAAATTGTAGTTCAATACGGCGTATTTCATATACAAACAACCCTTTTAGAAAAAAAAATCTGTATGTATACAAGTACAATTTTAATGGCGAAACAAAAGTGCCGATATCCTTTTTGTCGTTGATAAAGACCAGACGACATGCGTTGAACGGATGTCATCATTACTTTGAAAAAGTCACCCCTACCCTACCTTAACTTAACCTCTTTACGAAAGTAACTCATATTTTGATACAATTAGTTGTACAGTGTAACCCGGATATAAGAGAGTTGTCGGGACCGGAGAAGAAGTCTCTTATATCCGTGTTTCTCTTATATCCGGGTTGGGTCTAATTTATATACATTAACACAGGCTCTAATTTGGGACCAGAGAAAATCTCTCTTATATCCGGGTTTCTCTTATATCCAGGTCTCTTATATCCGGGTTACACTGTAAGTGAAAAAGAATACCCTACCGACCTTGTTTAAATGATTGGATCTCCTCATATCCCTAGAAACTAATATTATGAATGTATGTGCTTGTAAAACTCTGTAAATTTCAAAATAATTTATTCCACAATTCGCTTGAAAATGAAACAGAACCTGGGACTTTAATTCATTTTAAATCTATAATTGAATTTGAAGATTTTAGCTTCTGTTTTTGAAACATGGTAATTCCTGTGTAGCGATGAACCATATTTTTAAATATGTAAATTTACTATATATATATATATATATATATATATATATATATATATAAAAGGTAATAAATTCGTTGGCATATAATCCAAGTGGATCCTAGTAATATAAAATATTCAAACTGCTCCACAAAAAGAGCTCGGTGTATTTCTAACAATGCCAATAAATAGTATTACACAATAAAATCCAAAATTATCTCATGTGGGCGACATCTATTTCAACAGACGAAAACTTCATCATATATATATATATATATATATATATATATATATATATATATATATAATAAATACATGAATTATTCACACAAAACTAATGCAAAGGTTAATGATTTAAATGGCGAGACATCCATCATCGCAAACAATTCAAATAGTATACAAAAACCTCCAGATCCGTTATGAATGAATTGATCCTTGTTTATATAAATTTCTGCCGTATTAGTTGTTATTTTTACAAGCTTTCGTCTGTTCCTACAGACATCTTCAGGTATAGAATAGATGTTGTTTTTTTGTTTTTTTCTCTTAGTAATAAAAGGACAACGAAAATATATGTGTTGTTGTATCCGAAAATGCTATTGAAAAAGAGTTATTGGCTTTGGAACGCGCCAAAGCAACGCTGAGTTTGATTTTAAATTTTTAAAGTGTTTGCGTTTATACCAAATATGGTAAATTTTTCTGTCAAAGTGGCATGAACTATATTGTTCAATAATTACAGTAATGTCGCACTTATTATCTAAAAGTCGCACTTGGATCAGTTATTTAAATTACAATAAACGTGCAATCAATTTACAAATACATGAATTATTCACACAAAATATATATATATATATATACATACGCATACCGGGGCTCAATAAGAATGATGAAGATTTCCACTTGGACTATATACCAACGAATTTATTACCATTAATTTACTTATTTAAAAATATGGTTCCATCAGACTATATATATATATATATATATATATATATATATATATATATATATATAGAGAGAGAGAGAGAGAGAGAGAGAGAGTGAGTGACATAGATAGATAGATAGATAGATAGATAGATAGATAGATAGATAGATAGATGATAGATATATAATATTAGTGGTCAATATATATATATATATATATATATATATATATATAGAGAGAGAGAGAGAGAGAGAGAGAGAGAGACATCATTTTCCAAGATGATAGAATCCAGTTAGAACTCAATGTCCAGGACAGAGTAAGAATATAGTATAAAAGTATAAATATACATATATACGAAATTTCTCGAACATTCAGGCAGGTTAATGTAATTAATACTGTTTAATTACAAAAACCCGAGCATTTTTTAAATAAATTACATCTATAAAAATAATGTATAAACAGAAAATTATATATATATATATATATAATATATATATTTTATATATAATATATAATATATATATATATATTTTAATTAAACAGTATTAATTACATTTACCGGCGAGAATGTTCGCGAAATTTCGTAGAAAATATGTTCTTCTCCGACAGGAATCGATCCTGTAACCCTTAATGAGAACCATCATTTGATCTGATGTGCTGTTAACCTTAATTCCGACAATTATTTCAATATATTTTCCATTTATACGTTATTTTTATACATATAATTTATTTAAGTAAATGCTCTGTTTGTTAATTCAACGGTATTAATTACATTTAACGACTGAATGTTCGAGAAATTCAGTCCGGTAAATGTAATTAATACTTTCATGAAAAAAAAAATCGGAACTTTTACTTAAATAAATTATATCTATAAAAATAACATATAAACAGAATATAATTTTACATACTGGGATATGACGAGTTATAGAAGTCTATTATTTACAGGCAGCTGCGCTGCAAGATTCAACAAAAAAAACCTACTCAATACTGAATTGCTTGTTCATGTGATTACTTCGATATGAAATTTTAAGGAACCAATAATTTTACTTGATATACAAAACCAATAACCGAATGTTTTAACAGCTTAGAGCGAAGAAAATCATTCAGTGAAGGACAAAAGTTCTTCAATACAGAAATAAAAGAACGCTTTTCAATAGTGCACAAATCTGAAACACTGCTAATTGCTAGCAAGAAATTTCACCTGTTAATACAAAAGTGAAGAGTTTTCTATTCTGTTTTATTTGTTGGAACTTCCTATGGAAAACTTTTACAAGAAGATAAATAAGAATAGGTTTTGTGGCCAAGAAATTATTTAAACGGCTTATTTTTTTTTTTCTTTTAGTTAACACTCAAAAGACTTTGGTTTTTACAGTGACCTTCTTTTTGCGTCGAAGATAAGAAAAAAAAAACTTTAATTCATTTAGGAGTTGCAATATTCGTTAAACACTGACAGACTTTCTATTGACACAATAGAAAGTCTGTAATTTAAAATTACATAAACGATCTAACTTCATATTCTAGCAAGCTTTTACGCGTCTTGACTTAAATCCATTTAGAAACATGTTTGTATTTTCCAGAGATTATCTTTTCTCTCTTTGATCTTCTTTGCTCTTTCTTCTCTCTTCTTTTCTCTCTCTCTCTCTCTCTCTCTTTCTCTCTTTTCGTCTCCCTCTCTCTCTCTCTTTCTCTCTCCTGTTCGTCTCTTCTGTATTCTTTCCTCTCTCTTCTGTCTTCCTTTCTCCTCTTTCTTCTGTCTTTTTTCTCTTCTCTTTTCTGTCTTCTTCTTCTTCTTCTTCTTCTTCTTCTTCTTCTTCTCTCTCTCTCTCTCTCTCTCTCTCTCGTTTGTCTTTTCCCCTCTCTCTCTTCTTGCTCTTTCTCTTTTTCCCTCTCACATTCTTTTGTCTTTTTTTTTTTTTAAGCGTTTCACCCCAAACAAGGCGGGAAGCCACTAGGACGCAAGGGGTTACAGAAAATTTGGAGCAAGATCAGATAGGAGTGATAGAAGAAAGGATGAGGAGAAGGGTAGTGGATAGATCAAGGCAACTGGAGATGTCGATTGACATTACATTTGAATAGTTGGAGAGTATATCTCTCAGGGAAACTGGAATAGGGAAGGGAGTTTCACAGGCGAGAGGTGCGAGACATGAAGCTATCGGAGTAGAAGAGACGGCTACATTTAGTAGTTTCGACAGTGAAGGGGTGAGAGCGGGATGCCAGCCTCGTAGGGCGCTTGAACTCATGAAGTCTGGGAACCAGCGAAAGCAGCTCATCGGCGCAGTTACCATGAAAGTATTTGTAAAAAAAAGACAGAGAGAGGCGACGGTGCGTTTGTGAGAAAGCGACTGTAGACGAGATGCCAGAGCAGGGCCAATTATATTGCATATCCGCCTCTGGAGCTTATCAAGAACCCGGAGGCAAACAGAAGGGGCTCCAGACCATATATGGCAGCAATACTCCATGCAAGGGCGAATTGTTGATTTGTAGATCTGGAGGATCGGTTCCGGGGAGAAAAATTTCCTGGCGCGGCTCAGGGAGCCAACTTTCCTTGCGGTGGACGAAGCAATTGACTCAATGTATTTGTTCCATCTCAGGTCAGTAGACAACGTGAGACCGAGCAGCCGCAGATTTTCTCTTCTCTCTTTTCTTTTCTCTTTCATTTGTCTTCTTTCTCTCTCCCTCTATTTCTCATCCTCTCCCCTTCTCCCGCCTTTATTATTCTCTCTCTCTCTCTCTCTCACTCTTTCTTTCTTTCTCTCTCTCTTGTCTTTTCTTCACTCTCTTCTTTTTTTTTCCTCTATCTTCTGTCTTTCCCCTCTATCTTCTGTCTTTTTTTCTCTCCCTATTTCTCATCCTCTCCCCTTCTCCCGCCTTTTTATTCTCTCTCCGCGCGTGCATCTCTCTTTTCTCTCTCTCTCTCTCTCTACTCTTTCTTTCTTTCTCTCTCCCTTTTTTTTTCTTCAAAATCTTCTGTCTTTTTTCTCCTCTATCTTCTGTCTTTTTCCCCCCTCTATCTTCTGTCTTTCTTTCTCTCTCCCTATTTCTCATCCTCTCCCCTTCTCCCGCCTTTATTATTCTCTCTCGCGCGTGCATCTCTCTTTCTCTCTCTCTCTCTCTCTCTCTCTCTTTCTTTCTTTCTCTCTCTCTTGTCTTTTCTTCACTCTCTTCTGTCTTTTTTCTCCTCTATCTTCTGTCTTTTTCCCCCTCTATCTTCTGTCTTTCTTTCTCTCTCCCTCTATTTCTCATCCTCTCCCCTTCTCCCGCCTTTATTATTCTCTCTCTCTCTCTCTCTCTCTCTCTCTCTCTCTCTCTCTCTCTCTCAATCCCCAACACACGTAAAGTCCGTAGTTTGTTTACGTGAAAATGTTTGCAATGTGATTTCTCTGGTGAGTGGACCAGTGCCAGGACTTCAATCGGAACCTCTTACAAGTGACATTGATGTCTTCATCTTCCAACTCAATTGGTCAACTGATTTCCCAGCTGTAAAACCCACTCCACTGTTCCGACGACCAATAATAATTTTTATTGATTTGATCCCTACACCTGACTACAAACGACATCCACGTGTCTAAACAACAACGATAATAAGCGTCTTTGATTCTGCACTCATTCCGGTTAGCAGACGACAAAGATAACGATGACGACGACGACGGTGGTTCATAGGAAAAAAGTTTCCCATAACTCTGATCTCTGATCACTGGACCGTTTGTGATCACTATCTGGAGATTGGCCAAATAATGGACACGTGAGGAAAGTTCAGTCGATGCTGACAGATTGCACAGTTCAAAGAAAGGAGAACGAATGATTTTGGAGGGGTGAAGGTGGAAGCGGGAATGGCAGGAAAAGGATATGGATGGGGAAAATGGTAGTAAAAAAAAGAACACAGGTGAGAAAAGGAGAAAAGTTAGAAACAAAAGCGCGGGAGGAAAGATGAATGAAATTTAGTGAATAATAATGAAGAAGCGAAGTATAAGAAGGAATATAAAGGAAGGTTAAAGAGGAGGCAGGGGGGGGGGAGAAATTAAAAATATACATTCAACTTATAGCAAAAGTTCCTTCCGTTGCGTCCAACCAACTCTATAGATTACAATACAATACACAGACAGACACAGACAAACACACATATATATATTATAAATTAATTGTTTTAAAAATATGGTTCCATCGCTACACAGGAATTACCATGTTTCAAAAACAGAAACTAAAAACTTTAAATTCAATTATATAATTAAATTAAAGGCCCCCGTTCTGTTTCGTTTCCAAGCGAATTTTGTAATAACTTTGTAAAAATAAAAATATTAATAAGAACACCGGATTATATATCATACTATTCTTTCTTTTATTATAATATATATATATATATATATATATATAGTTGGATTGACGTAAGTTTGTAAATATGTTAGCTCTATCACTGATATTGAGCGTTTTCCAATAAGTACCACGCATATATATGTATATATTATAAATATAAAATTGCATATATATATATATATATATATATACGTTTTATACATATATACATTTTACACACATACACACACACACAAACACACATATATATATATATATATATATATATATATATATATATATATATATATATATATATATATAGGTGCGATGGATAATTTGTCGACATTTTTTTCAATTTTGCGCATGCGCGTTGTTTGTTTTGATTTTATCGGTTGCACAGTAGAGTCAGTTTGGCACCGTCTGTGAGAAAAAGACCACCATGACGCAATTCACTTCGCCAGAAATTTGGAAACGGCATGCTGTACTGCATGACATGCTGTACTTATCATGGTAACTAGGTATCAGTCAATCGATTCAACATTCTTGCTAACAGTTTCTTGCTAACCGCCTGGAAAACTAGTTTCATCTTCGTCTCTGTGGAAATGGTTCAACTTTCACTGTCATAGAGGAAGATTGATACTACCGTATTTGGCTGCATATAAGAAGCACGGTTATATAAGATGCATCCCAAATTCAGCAGGAAAAATCAAGAAAAAAACTAGTACTTAGTAAAACTAGTAAAATTATTAGTAAATGGTACAACCTAGGCTATATTTATGAGGTATTATTTTGGTTAAATAAGCCATGATTACAATTAAACGAAAGATAATAGGAAGAAAAAAAAATACGAGCCTATAAAAAACCTTTATTATATCCAATTGTAAGAAAACAAAATAAAAATCAAGTATTACAATTGAGCAAAACAGTACAGTTAGGATTAAAATTTTGTGAATCTTTAAAATTCGTCGTCATCGTTATCAAAACTGTGATACTCATTTTCAATACTACTATCATCGTCGTTAAATAATGCGTCATCTTCCGTTCCATTGAGAGCATTGCTAATGCCACACTTTTGAAAATATTTCACAATTTCTGGTCTAATATTATCTCAATCTCGCTTCACCCATTCGCAGACTTGTGCAATGCTAGCTCTTTTTATTCTTCCTGTAAGTGTAACGTCGTGATCAGGCGTTGCCATCCACTGTTACAATTTTTGGATGCATTATGTACTAGTGAGTTAGCCCAAATGACTTGACTCACTTTATAGCCCACCAATAGATGGTTAACCAATCAGAAGACGTAGAATATTCAATCCGTCGTGTATAAAGGCGGCCATTTTGTTTACTCTCTCCGAATGTCCAGTGCCAGAAGGAAAATCTACGCTCTGCTACTTTACCGGGATATCCTCTGCTAACCTGAACAACGCTTTTCTACTGTCTTCGAAATATTCACTGCTAACCTCTGGATTCTATACTCGAAGACGACCGTCATCATGAACAATATCCACGTGTTCCATTGTTCCTTCATATTTAAGTCTAAGCAAATAGGAGTTACCAGGTAGCTAATTTCGGCCGACTACCGTGAATTTTAAGCCTACATGTGTCATATATGACGAGGGGGAATTTTAAAAGATCTTTTACTAAAAACAAATTGCGCCTTATATGCCGTCAAATACGGTGGATCAAAACGCCCATTCAGTCTTAGGATCATATACGGAGTCTGTTTGGTCGGTTTTGCAGCATGTCAACCTTTGTTAGGTTATTTAATGTCGAAACGTATGGGGCACCGATTGAGGTTCGAACTCACTATTCAGTAAACATGGTCAGACAAGACTCGTTAACCATTACTCCAAGCCGAGGCATCCGATTATATATATATATATATATATATATATATATATATATATATATATATATATATATATATATATATATATACCAATAACTCTTCTCCGTGTTTTGATAAAAAAAAAAAAAATACAACATAGTATAGCAGTATATATGTCCTTTTGGTGATTGTAAGTACATATGATGGCTTGACGACAACATTATCAAGACGTCTTACACTTCATGTGTCGGATGCAAGTTCCATTGCACAATATTTAAAAACATTCCTGTCCACCTTCACAATACAGAAAAAGAGTTGTTGACAACCCCAATATACTCCACCACGAAAATAAGAAACAAAAATGTTATATTCTCGAGGCCCTCTTATATCAAAATCAACTAAACAACATTCAACAAAATTTATTATTTTTAATCTGCATAATAGCCTTTCGAATAATGACAACAGGTATTTGAAAGTTTCTCTAATGTCTAAGCTAATAGGAGTTGCTAATTTCGGACAACTATCGCGAATTTCAAACCTACATATGACATACATGACGCAGGGGAATTTTAAAAGATATTTTAGTAAAAAAAAAATGCGCCTTATATGCCGTCAAATATAATATATATATATATATATATATATATATATATATATATATATATATATATATATATATATATATATATATATTATATATATTTATATATATATATTTTATATATATATATATATATATTTATATATATATATATTTATTATATATATATATATATATATTTATATATATATATATATATATATATTAGGTTAATGCAAAAATAATGACGTAATAATGTCGTTTTTGACGTTAAAAAATACGTCAAAAAACGACATTATTATGTCATTATTTTTGCACCAACCTAATATATTAGTCGTAGTAATAATCTTATAAGTATAAGAAATTATACTCGTCCGGAAAACCTTCGGTGTCTTGATTTGCGAATAATCAAACCAATACCAAAGCGAAAAAAAGGTATAAAAAAAAGAAAGAACCAAGAACATGTACGTTAGCCGAAAATAATCGTCTAGCATGCAAGTCCAAGGCCCAAAGAAAAAAGACCCGATACGAGTACGCAAAATAACTAAATAAAGTGCTCAATTCGGTAAGTAAGGTTTGGTAGGTTTGTCTGGCTCTCTAGGTTTAACTATATATATATATATATATATATATATATATATATATATATATATATTATTTTTTACATAGGGGTTCAGCTCTCTTTTCCTTGTTTCTAAGGAAATTTTCCCTTTTTTTAATACTTCTTAGTTTCTGGAAGGCATCTTTTATTATTACAATACAACTTAGAATTTCTATGTCCCATGTTTCCGTCTGTTACGCGCTACTTATTTACGCATTTCCTCTCCGGTTCATCGAAAAAGTATATAAAAGGTGTCCGTTACGTTAACATCGATTTTGTCCGTCCTCTGTATCGTCCGAAAAATGCCAGCTGTTTGGTCAATGGGCAGAGATTTTAATACCCGGCAGCCATTTCGATTCTCTTGTCTTGATCATCGGTAAATGACTTAAAAACGGATTTACTGATCCGACTTGGGGGCTTAAAACGAATCCGTCGACATTTCTGGCCTTCTGCTTCGAGTGAAAGGTTCATGGTGTCAAGTCATAGAAGATAGATTGCTACAAGCCTTGAATTTTGCTTTCTAGCAGTAACGCTTGCACTTATTTCAAATCCCTTGCTATTTCTGTCAATCTTATTTCTAATGCTATTTCTATAGTTCAATTTTCTACCCTGCCCTCGTCAACCGCCAACCAGGGATGGTAACACAGTTTCAGTGGCTAAGGCGGTCTCTTGCGGTTTCTTGCGACAGATATTCAACGTTGCGTTAAAAGCGTAATTTATGTCTGAATTTTTAAAATGAGAAATTATAATTATTATATATATTTCCATTCGGACTGGCGATCTCGTCTTGGTTGCTTTCATCAAAACGTTGTAATCTCCGGCCATTTTCGTTTCGTACTCGGAAACCTCAAAATTTTCCACGAATGATAGTTTTGCTAAGCTGCCATCATTCAATTTAGTTAGTTTTGAGGATTTAATTTATTTACTTTTTGTCTATGTTTCCACCACTTTTGTTATTAAGTGTCCCACAAAATATTAATGGAAGATCTTACAAGAAAGGTTATTTTTTGCAAGAGCCGAGACCTAAAGCTATTGTGGATGATCAAACGATTAAAAACTTTTTGCACTTTTTCATATATTTTTTCCAAAATGTTTTCTTGATATATGAAAATGTATATAGCATTCCAAACAAGCACACACACACACACACACACACACACACACACACACACACACATACATACATACATACATACATAGATATATATATATATATATATATATAAATTCGAAGAGGATAGAATACAGGTAGAACTCAATGTCCAGGA